AGGGCGCCAGAAGACGAAGTGCCTGGGGATATCTGAGCCGGGTGCGAAGTCGACAACATCGGGCTCGTCTGCCCAATGTCCATCCCCTGGGATATTCCTGTTTGTTGGGGGTAGTGGTCCAGTCATTGTGCCTCGCACCCTGTCCAAGACTGGCCACTCGCCCTCGTCCCAAGTGACGGCGAAAAGGATTGTCTCTCGACCCATAGGATAGATCTCCCATTCCGGTCCAGATCTAGTCGCAAGAGCAACCCCCCACCAATTTCCAGACGCATCCTGGAATAGGTCGGCATGTCCAACCGTCTGGAAATACTCGTTTGTGTTTTTGGCAGTGAGGATCGGGTTACCTCCAAAACCTTCATAAGGCCCTCCGATCTCCTTTCCGCGAGCAATAGTGACGGAGTGATTTGTCTCTGTACCGCCCTCTCCGATCAAGAGGTAATAGTAGCCATCTTTGCTGTACAAATGAGGTCCTTCCGGATTACGGTCTCCAGTTCCATTCCAGACCTTGAGTGGTTCCGTCGCAGAGCCTGTCGTGAGATCAATCTCACTAATGTAGATGCCCGCGGCAACGGACATATATACCTTGCCAGAATCCCAAAAGATGTCTGGATCGATGTCGTTTGCCGGATTCTGGATGTGAAGAGGACCAGTCCAAGCGGAGTCGTCGTACGGGTCCTTGGTCGTGAACAAGAGAATCTTCGGTCCCCAGCCTTCAAACCACGAGACGTATGATGTGATCAGGTAGAAGGTTCCCTCATGATATCTAATGGTTGACGCCCAGATGCCCTCTGACTGGCCCGAGTTTCTGTACAGTTCCGGCAGCTGATCCGCCTTCGTCAAAGCGTTGCTCGCATGCTTCCAGTTGACCAAGTCTTTGCTTGCGTAGACGGGCACACCAGGGAAGGCCAAGAAAGACGACGTCGTACAGAAAAAGGTATTATCCAGCTCTTTGACGAATGTGCAACTGGGATCCGAATTCCAACCTGGCAAGATTGGATTGTGGAAGGTCTGGTTGACCTCTGCCCGGCCGTGAGTCGCCAGCATGACCACGAACAGCCCTGCGAGGCTGGAGAATCGCATTGAGTTGAGATTGGAAACGTAGGCCGTGGAATCTATGTTTTCAATCCTACTTATCAATTGTCTTTCCAAAACCTAGCTATCTCTGCATTATCTGTTATTTAAATACGTTACTTATCTTACCATGGTCCATTGAGTCGCTCCAATGAGACGCTGGATAAGCCGCTCAAAATACCGCTTGTCGGTTATCTTTCTAAGTACATACGAAACCGAGAACGAGACAGGAAGATATTCCGCCAATTCCACCGCCAGGCCGGCAAAACTTCGACGGCAGCACATGGTTGGCGAGCGGGGTTGAAGGTGAAATGGTCGGAGAATGGATCAAAACCCCGCATTCACCCCCGGAAAACCCGCCGGATGGCGTGCCGCTGGACCGTCGCGTACCGGAATGTCACCCAATGACCTCATCCATCGCACTTAATGTCCGCGTACTCGGGTCTAAACAAGCTTCGAATATTTATGGAGACTCGCATTTTCGACGAAGAGGTTGTATGTACAGTAACCGACAAACCCATTGTCGCTCCTGTTCAGACCAGGCTTAATGAGAGCACCAATCAACCCAAAGTTTCAAACTGAGTTGTTTGCCGTCTCATCGAAGCGACCTCTTGAGCCCCATAAACATGCCCTGCCCAATCATTGTGAATAGGCGATTCAATTGTGTCAATGTCACTGACCATAGTTGAAGAGTTGCCTCTCATGATCAGACTCTTGAGTGCTATACTGCCTACAGCTTTTCTCCGCTGAAAGCACACCATCGTCTGATCTCCCACGCGTTGATCGGGACTGTCCGCTATTGGGTCCTGTAGTATTGGGATAGAGACAGCCTGGCTGGTCTCAGGTATCACTCTCTTCTTTGCAAAGGTTCTGAGGTAGCTGGTGGACAGTTTCGCCTTCTTCAATCCTTCAACATAATTATGCTTGGCTTTTTTCTTCATCCGCAGACTCTGCATACTCACCATGCGGTGTTCATAGTGCGAAACAGCCAATGCTGTTCACCGATCGTGTTTCATTACACTTACTCAGCGATCATGATCGATGAGGTTACACGAACCAGCCATGGTCCAATCATATGCCTCTCTATTGATACGTCTCTATCTCATGCACATCTGAATCAACAAACACTTCTCAATTGGAAGCGAGTGAATGCACTCTAATAACGGCGGATGCAACCTATCACGGGCGAAAGATTTGCAAGTAACGTTCCAAGTGCCTTTTGTTTGCTGCCAGCCGGTTACACAAGGTATGACGCGTCCGAATCCCATGAACCCAGTAACCTGTCAAACGATGACACCTGCGTCTTGTAATGTGGAAGAAATCCCTGGGAAGTGCTCAAAACATCGCTCACCGCTCCATTGACAGGCGCAAGCCGCTTAATTCGCCACTGGATCGAATGCGTTGCCGCTTCCCAAGAGGATGTCCCGTCTAGGAGTCTTCATATCAATAACTCTAGCAATCTCATTTGATTAGCGTCGGTGAAGGTCATGATCTCACTGCGACTTTGATGGTGTTGTACACAACATCATCGTCAAAATCAAACTATCATCGCAAAAATCGCATATGGCTCATCAATCGTCATACAACATGCTAGCGACTCAGGTCCCACAACCCCGTGTTCGCTTTGAACCGTCAAGGATAACCTAGCTGCTGCCCTGCGTAAATTGCAGCCACGCTGCGTGGCTCGTAACGACGGCACTTGCTGGAAGGGTGCGACGTACGTGCGGAGAAATGCCACGGGATCTACCATCCGAGCTCGTCCCGCGTTTGAAAATGGTTCCTGCATGCATGAATGTTAGTAAATCTACGGACAGGATTGGTCCGGAGTGACTGAATACACCGAAACGCCCATCCCAGGAGCCTATACTCCCTGTGCATTGAGCAGCCCATCCCATCTACAGACGAATTAGGTGCAGTTCCGGGAGGCAGAGGTGTGTTTGTTGGGAGACTTGGGCGAACACGCGTTCGCTATATAATTTCTCGAGAGTTTTCACCTTCATCGTCATTCAGGCGGGGTCGCTACACATTGCTCACAGATACTCACGATGTTGAAAGCAGCCGATCTCACGGGCGCGCTCGCAGAGCACTACGTACCGATCTTGAAAATCATTCTCGTCACAGTAAGTGACGCAATCGAGTGATATTGAGAGACTGATGGAGAGCTCTCTAACCAGCTGTTGACAGGCTGTCCTTTGGCAACTGCTTCAGGTAGGATATAACGTCTTCTTCCACCCCCTTCGCGACTATCCTGGGCCTTTATTGCAACGTGCTAGTTCTTTGCCCTGGGCGTTCCAAAATGCGATCGGAAAACAGGCTTTCCTCACTCAAAAGCTGCATGACCGGTACGGGCCCGTCGTTCGGATCAGCCCGAACCACCTGTCCTTCACGCAGCCAGATGCGTGGAAAGAGATTTACGGTTTCCAGCCTAGCAGCAAAGGATCAACTGAGATGAACAAATCCAAAATCTTTTCAGAGACTGTGGAAGAGCTACCCAAGAGCATTATCAATGCCGATCGAGAGGAGCACCAGCGACTGCGACGAGCACTGGCTCACGGCTTCTCGGACGCCTCCATGAGAGAGCAGGAGGGCATGATTATCAAGTACATTGACAAGCTCTCTGACAGGCTGAAAGAGTTCGCCGATGATGGTACAAGCCCTCAAAACATGGCGGGCTGGTATAATTGGACAACCTTCGACGTTGCGGGCGACCTTATCTTTGGGCAGTCATTCCAATGTCTCGAACGCGCTGACTATCACCCATGGGTGGCCTTCATTTTCGGAGCGATCCGCTTCGGCTCAGTCATGACTTCTATCAAGTATATTGGCTTGAACTTCGTTGTGCAAGCCTTGTTCAAGATGGGTGGAATGAAGGCTATGAGCCAAGTGAGGGAGAACACGGACGAGATGATGGAGAACAGAATGAGCATGACTGACGATCGAAATGATCTGTTCGAGGGACTTCTGAAGAGACGAAAGGAGTGGGTAAGTGTCATTTAAACTTACTGGGTGCCCTCCTGATATGAGACTGAAGCTAATCGACCACTCATTCAAAGAATCTGTCTTTCGACCAGCTCTCTGCAAACGCACTCATTCTCGTCCTAGCAGGTTCAGAGACAACCGCGACGACCCTGTCCGGAACCACGTATCTTCTACTCACTCATCCAGAAGTATACGAGAAGCTCAAGAAGGAAGTCCGATCTGCCTTCAAAGACTCAAGCGAGATCAACATTGGCTCAGTCAGCAATCTGTCGTACATGTTAGCGGTACTGAACGAGTCTCTCAGGCTCTATCCACCAGTGACCTCTGGGATCATCCGAGAGGCACCAGAGGGCGGGTGTCGAATTGGTGGACAACACATCCCTGAGGGCGTAAGAAATCCAAACCCGAATCAAAATCATAGACGGCTAACGATAGTCAGACACTTGTTGAGATCCAACAGTGGTCCTCAAACCACAGCCCCGATAACTGGCCAGATCCATGGAAGTTTGATCCTGAGCGCTTTTTGGAGAGTGGGAAGACAAATGTGAACCGTCTTGACTCTCTGCAGGCGTTTAGCGTGGGACCTCGCAACTGTATTGGCCGCAAGTAAGTGTCCCTCTGTAACCTCCAACGTAGTGCTATTGCTAAAGTTTGTGTAGTCTGGCATATTCCGAAATGAGAATGGTTCTGGCCAGGGTTATCTTTGACTTTGATATGGCTTTAGCCCCAGGCAATGGGGATTGGATCAAGCGGCAAAAAGCTTATGGACTTTGGGACCGAGTCCCTCTCAACGTGTACCTGAAGCCGGTCGCGCGTTGATAGAGATTCCCGAATCACGGAAGAAAAGACAATTTTCATGAGCAGAGACTGGGAGAGTTGCGCTTTCTTCTACATGAGACTAGTAAGCTTCAAAAGTGAATTTAGTACACCGCAAACTCCAAAGGATATGTCTAATGCGCGTGATGTCCCCCTGCACCATCCCAAAAGAAAGAGGCCGCGTCCGTGTTGAGGAGGACGTTCCCCTCGAACCCCTCAAACCCAGAGGTATGAAGCCCGGGAAACAAGGTGGAGTCTGCTGTGGCGGTTGGAAACGACTCCGGAAAGGATTCCGCCTTGCTTGCTGGGAAATTGCCACTGCCCCGAAGTCTCTCTATCACAACTGGTGTCTCGATGCTCTGGCCAACGTTGCGGAACGCCAGCTCGCGTCTTTGCCATCCAGCCAGCAAATTCTCCGCTCGCTGCACGTTCTCCCGCTTGCTGAGATCATAAAGCTCCGGGTGGTAAAAGTAGACTCTGTCGATAGCCTTCCATGCCCTATCGACCAAAGTTCCCACCGGCTGCCACTGCAACAACTCGATCATGACAGAAAATGCGTCTGCTTGGAGGTGAAGTTTGGGGTACCACCGGAACCGGTCGTCGATTGTATCGTACCAGTTTAGGTCACTCTCGAAGTGGATGACCCAGAGCCTGAATAATGATTGCTGGCCAGCTAGACTGTCCGCGTCCTCCTTCCAGGGTTCTCGAGCGTGGGCTATCATATCGCGCATCCGCTGGGCCACGAGAGGCCGAAGCTTGCAGGCCAAGACGTGGATTCCTCCAATGGTCGGGTTACAATATCGTTTCTCTGCCACGATGAGTCGTTCTTCAAGCTGGTCCACTATCACACGGTACTTGTCCAGGGATTGTGGTCCCTCGATGGCCTTTGACCTATCCGCATTGAGATCTCCCTGGCCCAAGACGACTGACTCAAATTCCGGGACCGGGTTCTCGCAGAAGAAATGCCGCGATTCGTACAGCATTAGGCAGAATGCCATTTCAGTAGCGCCTTCTCGGGACCTTAAAGGCTCTAAGGAACCAGGCAGCAGGTCCGCGTCGTTAAGATTACTCGGGAGCTTCGTGTCCCAATTTGGCGGCAGTAGCGTATCGCAGAATCCTGCGAGAACGGCGTATTTTGTTTCGAGCATGATGATTTGCCACCATATCCGTCTGCGCATCTCGGTCTCAAACGGTGTAAGGCCGATCAGCTCGCCATCACGATGAAGTCCCATTCTCTGGGCTATCCTGACGAGCATCCCTGTCAGGATCCATGACGCGTGGCGATCGAACTGTCCCTGGAGCGATACCTAGTGTGACGTTAGAGGGAAGGATGCTTCTCTCGTTCTCGGAACACTTACCAAGTATAACACTAGACATTGCAATATGGTAAGGTTGTATTTACGGAGAAAGTCGACTTTCGATACTGCTTTTTTCAAGGCGAGGCTGGCCTTCCTTAGAGCTGCGTTCTTCGGGACATTTAGAATCTGTTCAGATTCGGCCTCAGATAAAGCCATGATTGCTAGGACGTTAATTGAGCAGAGCAGGGCCTCGAAATCAGGGGCGACATTGCCGTGATCTGTTGCAGCTTCGAACACGAGCGGCTCTAAACTGGGAACGTGAATGACTTTAGTCATCGGATTCACCCGTTCCAAAAAGACCTGCCATAGGCGAAGCATCTCTACCGCGCCGAGGGCCAGGATATCAAAGTCCATGGACTCACGGCTGTCCAAGCTTCCATCCTCAGTAGTGTTCGCTACTGAGGGGGTGTTTGAGGCGCCGGTACTCTCATCGGCTTGATCATTGAGACTAAGCTTAGAGAATTGCAACTGTGACTACATGAGACTTGCGCGACCCAACACTTCGCAATTGAGAACTCACATGATCCACGACATTAGAGCGTAGGGGGCTGTCCATGAACGTGCGACGTCCCTCATCAACAACAATCTTGCCCGTCGGTCTCTGGTCCGGCTGTTTGCGAGCTTCCTCGTAGCTCACGTACGACATCATCGACGGGCTATCCGCCGCTGTCGCCGACGCCATTACATCGCGGAACGCCGGGGGCGTCTCGCTCGTGAATGGGCGTCCTTCCACATCGCGCGGCGCGACCTGGCTCAGGAGCGACTCGCACTGATTGAGTCTCTCCAGCAAGTCCTTAACTACGCGTCTCCTACCCGCTCCCGCAGGCGCCCGCGTGGAGGGGATGCACGGCTGGTCGGCCTAAGAGGGGGAAACACCATCTCGCATCAGCACACTGGATCCGGCTCCATCGGCAGGACTGCCCGCTGACAAACCTTGATGCAGTTGGCGCAGGGGGACTTTCGGTCGCACTTGATCTTGCGCTGATGGCAGAAAACGCAGGCCAAGACGTGCGGGCCCTTTCCGGGTGTCGCGTCGCTGTTTTGTCGCGAGACTGGGCTTTCGGATGCCATGAACGCTGGTTCCTATTCTGCTTGTGTATTTTCCCTTTTGAGACTGCTTTGCTCAATCTTTCTTGACTGTGTTGATGTGACCTTTTCTCGTCCGTTTTTTTGTCGAGACGGACTTTCGCACTCTCAAACGATCCGGTCGAATGACGTTGCACTGCGATTTGTGCATCTTTCGGAGTAAATTGGGCAGGGGTCAGGCGACTTGTGCAGATTATCCTCTTTTTTGTGGGATTCGCTAGCCCTGATTCGACAATTAGAGGGGCGGAAGATCCTTGGCGACGGACGGGATGGGAGGTTACATTGCGGTGTTTGAGAGTTGTGCACGATTTGTGATCATGTTGTACAGCGGGCAGAAATGTCGAGTCACGCTATGAGCTATCGTGATTGATTCAGGAAAACTAAAAGGAAATTGCAGCGGGAGGAAGATGCATTGGCTAAGTGATACATAACAAATTCGTTAATCAGATCCATGTGGAAGATGCGGAGAATATTTGGGGTATCGACAACTGGAAATACATGCTCATCTGTAGACGGTGCGGACTTCTCACCCCTCACTTGTCCATATTTACAGGTCCCCCTTGAGAGAAGTCATACTCTGCAGAAAGCCCTTGATAGAACATGGGATCCAAGTCCGGCAGAAAATAGCTAAATATTCCCATCACGTCCGTTCCCATCAATGCGCCGGGCGAGACTTGATCAAGGCCGTTGTCGAAGGAAAAGTCCGCAAAGCTTGACGGCATGGTCATCGCAGTGGTCGTGAAAGCGTCACCAGGCATGGTCTGTGAGCCAATTTTGGTCAGGAAGGATTCGTCAGGTACCATACAACTTGACTCACATTTGATAGGTCCAGCGTCATTTCCATGGGTTTCATGTTATTCCTGCTGGACGGCGGTCTGGGGAGAGATGTGCCCAAGTCTTGCGCCGCCGTGGATGAGCGCGCGAGGCCAGATATTCTGATGTCGCCATGTTGAATCTCATTCACGTAGTCCCTCGCGATCTTGGCGAATTCGGCGATGAGCGAGCCTGGCAGGGTCCCGCCACTTGCGTATTCGATCCTGCTGAAGTGGCCGGCAGCCATGTCAAGAAGAGCTAGGTTAGAAGCGACTTCCGGTTGGCGCGGGTCGTGAACGACGATGTCAAATAAGACGAAGAGTGCTGTTATTGGGATTCCCGCAATGACCCTGACGTCCCAACCAGTCAGCTGACATATCGTAGTGAGAATCGAGCTTGCTTTACCAAGTCACCGTATACGGCTCAACTTCAATCATGGTGGTCAACTCCAAGATAGACCGAGATGCTCCGAGGATTGCTTTCATGTTGGAGTTCTTCCTTGCCAAGGCGGACGCATCCTCTGTGCTTGGGAGATAAACCAAGGTTGTTCTCGACAATGTCAGCAAAAGGCTGCTGTATAGGTAGTGAACTATCAGAGAGAGAGCTCTGGCCAAGGGTGTCAGGAGGACTTGTGGGCGGACAAGTCCGTCTGGCTTGAATCCGTTATCAGGGAGCGAGGATCTCCATTCTTCCAGCTCATCTGTCAACTGACTAATAACGTCGAGGTAATACGAGTTGGAGTTACCCGAAACGCCCACCGAGAAAAGCGAGGTGTATGCGCGTGATAGCAGGCGCCCGAATCGTATGAAGTGCAGGAACCAGTTGAAGTCACCCACCGTTGCCTCAGGGACAAGGGGTATAGGACAGAAGATGTCGCTGTCAACGAAGCTCTGTCGATCATCAGCATAAATCGGTCCTTCTAGAAATATGAACTCACCGAGCTCCTTCCAAAGTGAAAACTAGTAATCTTCTCAATGGTGTATAGAATCCAGAAGGCCTTCTGATACGCGACAGCAGCTGTCCCTGTGAAGTTGTTGGTCGACATGATCTGGGCTCGCCTTGCTGCCTCAGACATGATGACCGGTTCCACAGCTAACCCGCATATTCCCAACCCATAAACTGACATAGCCGTCAAAGCTTGCAGTATCGTGAGCGAGTCGGGAAGAAGCAGAAGGTCTGAGAAGCCGCCGAGGGCGACTGAGAACAGCCTCCAAGATTCACCCTTTCCGGCCTCAAAGGTCCCGCCGTCTGCATACTGTGATCCCAGTGCAAGAATGGTGTGATACAGACATGACCAGGGTTTGCTTCGCTCGAGAAGTGTGAGGAAGTTGGGCCCATTCACCGTCGCCTCAAACAGCGCCTTATCTAGAAAGGGGAACACAGGGTGCACGCGCTCGAAGTACACTGGCGACATGTAAGTCTTCTCCTCTGATATCTACACTGAAAGACCCTACTTCGGATGTACAATGATGTTTTGGTACTGTCCGTGATCGATTCAGGCTGTGGCATTCGGCGGGTGTTGGCGGTCGAGTCAGCCCGCCTCAACCGGCCATTGACGATCGTTGATATTCTGCCGACGAGTTCATTGACCTTGTTATTGCGGAGTCGGGTCGACAGCGAAAGTAATCTGCTGTCGGAGAAGAAGGTCAAGCTGTTGCGGCCACCTGTGGAAGTTAATGACGATTGTCTACGTTGGTTGATCTTTAGACGTGATTTGTACCGAAAATTCCATTGCGCTAGAATCGGTTCAGTGCGTGAGCATATAGAATGAGTGATATTACATACAGGCACAAAGACCAAATCCTCCGCGTTCTTGCTGTCGGCTGTCGGCGGTCGCCGTGCCCTTGTGAGAGCCCGGTCGACGTACAGCTCTTGAATGCGATGCGGAGGAGATTTTGGCGGCGGCGAGCCCAAAGGAGATGAAACTGACTTATGTTCACCAGTGGTGGCAGTCGAGAGATCAAGGACTGCCTTCGCATCGGGGGCAGCTGGGGCTTTTTGCCCGGCCGTAGAGTAGTTTGTTGGTAAGAGTTGGCCCGCAACTACGGGAGGACAGTCAGCACGGTGACCCAACGCCGCGCGACGTTTTCAACAACGATAAACATCAAAATCATCTCGGTGATGTAGTGGAGGAGAAATCAAAAGACTTACCATTTCGTCTGTGAGCAAGTCTTCTCACACTAAAGCGACAGTCTGCTTTCCGCCGCTTCCCGGTTCAACGAGTGTCAGCAAGCAAGACTCAAAAACATGCATGATTACAGTGTAATTACCACACAGTTTGCACAAGGACCTGGCGGCCCAGAGCCTGCCAGAAAATGTTAGCACAAGATCTTCCAGTCCAGCTACCCCCTTGGTGCAGCGACAGTCGGCCGAGGAAACATACTGGGGCAGCGGACCTTGCGCGCCTTGCAGGCATCACAGGACTTGTGGATTCGGGCACCCGCAGCGGGGCTGGGGCTAGATTCAGGCTTGTCAGCCATGCTCGGCCGACCTTTTCAGACAACCCGTAAGCAGCCAAAAACAGTAAATAGAATGTGCAAGAACTCGGCGACGAGGATGGACGGGCGAAGAACGCAACCACAAAGCTGGGAGCTCTGATGTTTTTTGGTTTAAGGGGGTGGAGCTCGTCTGAAGGTTCGGCCCTCCTCGTGGAGCGGTGATGGTATGGTCCTCGGCGCCGAACTGCCGTATTCGGTAAGCCCGGGCGCCCGGCGGTGTCAATAAAACCGTTGGGCGGGCCCCCTGATCATCGCGCCAACATCGCGTCTGGACGAATGGGCGAGGCTCCGGTGGGTGCCATCTGCGGCTCAAGATCTTTCGGAGCCGAGATGTCTTGTTTGGCGAACGTGGGCTGCATGTCGGAGAGTTTTTGCAGGCTTTCAGGCAACTCGGAGGCATGTTCGACTCGCACACCAGGCACATGTATCGTCAGCTCGGGCGAGGTGATGGTGATATGGCTCGGTATCAAGATTGGCGAAGTTACGAGACCCTGTATTTTCCTCGTGGCATGCATCAATGGCGTCTCCAATGTGTCAAGAAACAATTTCACATGCTCGTAAATATCTCTTACCCTTGCTTATGGTGGTGGGAGTTCAAGGTACTAATGCGATGGACACCCTGCGCTACTTCTGTCAGACTTCTCTGTGGATGACCTTTTCTTTCCCCAAGCCCTTTCTCCGTCAACTATTCATAATCTTCATATACCCCTTAGGTGGTCACAGAGGTTTCTCTGTGAGCCATCCTGGTCATATTCAAAAATTTCCCAGCACGGCAGTCAAAGAGGTGTCCCCCAAGGCAATAATCTGTAAAACCCCACATAAGGGACAGGATCAAATTTCTGAATCTTTCAAGCTGTCTTCTTTTCACTCATTTCACAAACTCTTGCCGAGGGTTCACTGACATCCTCAGTCATGGACCAACACTTAGTCAGTCCTCATGAGGACGTTAGGCCAGCGTCATCCAACGACACTCTCCGGGAGAAGACGATTCAAGAACAGCACCACCAGAGCGACGAGACAGACCTGGAAGTCAGCGATGACGGGGCCAACGAGCTCGTTCGTGGCTACAGCTTAGAGCTTGTCCGCACATCCACCCGTCCGAATAGCTCCTTCGTCAACCCCTTCCTTTCCAAGGATCCTTCTCTCGACCCCAGCAGCCGCGAGCATTTCAACGCCAAGAAGTGGACCCGATCGCTGCTCCAGCACTCTGACCACGACCCCGAAAAGTTTCCCAGGTTAGAAGCTGGCGTCGCGTGGCGCAACTTGAGCGTCCATGGCTTCGGTACCGACACGGACTACCAGAAAGATGTTCTGAACGTCTTGCTCCAAGGACCCATGATGATTAAGCAATTCTTCAGCAACAGGAGACAGAAGATTGACATCTTGAGGGAGTTTGATGGTATTGTGAAGAGTGGTGAGATGCTTCTGGTTTTGGGACGACCAGGAAGTGGAGTTTCGACTCTGCTGAAGACCATTGCTGGAGAGACGAACGGCCTACATCTTGAGTCGCACTCACACCTCAGCTATCAAGGTATGCTCTGGTCTTTCCCACCCACTAACACAAAACTGACGACGGGTTTCACAGGTATCCCGATGGAGACGATGCACAAAGCATTCCGAGGCGAAGTCATCTACCAGGCCGAAACCGACATCCACTTCCCTCACATGACGGTCGGGCAGACGCTTCTCTTTGCCGCTTTGGCCAGAACACCCAAGAACCGTCTTCCGGGTGTCAGTCGACAGCGATACGCTGAGCACCTCCGAGACGTCGTCATGGCCGTCTTTGGCATCTCTCACACTATCAACACCAAGGTCGGCAATGACTTTGTGAGAGGCGTCAGTGGTGGCGAGCGTAAGCGTGTGAGTATCGCGGAGGTCACCCTCAGCCAGAGCCCAATCCAGTGTTGGGACAACAGTACCAGAGGCCTGGACAGTGCTACGGCTCTCGAGTTTGCCAAGACGCTCCGGTTGTCTACCAATGTCGCCAAGACATCAGCCGTCGTGGCCATGTATCAGGCTTCACAGCCGGCATACGATGTAAGTATTTGTTTCTGAGAACCGGTGCGTGAAATGATGATACTGACAACACGAAGGTGTTTGACAAGGTCTCTGTTCTCTACCAGGGCAGGCAGATTTACTTCGGCCCTACGGAACTCGCCAAGCACTACTTCGTCGAAATGGGCTACGCCTGCCCCGACCGCCAGACCACCGCCGACTTCCTCACATCTCTCACCAACCCCGCCGAGCGCGTTGTTGGACCCGGCTTTGAGAACAGGGTGCCCAGAAGCCCAGACGAGTTTGCGACGGTGTGGAAGGGAAGCCAGCTGAGGGCTCGTTTGGTGGAGGAGATCCACTCATTCGAGGAGCAGTATCCCATGGACGGCTCAGGCGTGAACAAGTTCTCTGAAGTTCGCAAGGCGCACAAGCAGTCTCTCACGTGAGTCCAACACCGCTCCAAAGACCTCGCAAGTGCTCATACTGATCTTCTGCCAGGTCCTCGAGGTCACCGTATACCATCTCTGTGCCGATGCAAGTCTGGCTCTGCATGACGCGTGGGTATCAACGACTCTCTGGCGACAAGCTGTTCTTCTTTGTGACGGTACTCGGCAATATGGTGATCTCGCTCGTGCTGGGCAGCATTTTCTTCGACTTGCCAGCAGATGCATCGAGCATGAACTCTCGTTGCATCCTCATCTTCTTCGCCATCCTGTTCAACGGGCTGAGCAGTGCTCTTGAGGTGAGACTTATGCACAACGTCGCCTTGCGCCGTACTTGCTGACAGGTTATTAGATCCTCACACTTTACGTGCAAAGACCCATCGTCGAGAAGCATGCACGATACGCCCTCTACCACCCATTCTCGGAAGCCATCTCCTCCACAATCTGCGACCTTCCCAGCAAGATCCTCTCAACTCTCGCCTTCAACATTCCGCTCTACTTCATGGCCAAGCTCCGCCAGGAAGCAGACGCGTTCTTCATCTTCCTGCTTTTCGGCTTCACCACCACCCTATCCATGTCCATGATTCTGCGCACCATCGGCCAGACCTCGAGGACGATCCATCAAGCTCTTACGCCAGCCGCGATCTTCATCCTGGCCTTGGTCATCTACACCGGCTTCATCCTCCCGACCAGCAGCATGAAGGGCTGGCTCCGTTGGATCAACTACATCAACCCCATCGCCTACGCTTTCGAGAGCCTTGTCGCCAACGAGTTCACCGGACGCCGATTTCCTTGCGCCGACTACGTGCCGGCCTATCCGAACGCGACACCGTCTCAGCGTGCTTGTGCTGTAGCTGGGGCCATGCCAGGGGCCAACTTTGTTGATGGCGACTTTTACATGAATGCTCATTTCAGCTACTTCAAGTCTCACATGTGGAGGTAAGCAAACCATGTGAGCGGAATGTCAGTAGAACATCACTAACTTCAGGCTAGAAACTTCGGTATTCTCATTGGTTACATCATCTTCTTCTTCACTGTCTACCTTGTGGCAGCCGAGTTCATCACGACAAACCGCTCCAAGGGCGAGGTGCTGCTTTTCCGCAAGGGGCACAAGTCCACAACTCCCTCAAAGGCGGTGTCTGACGAGGAGACGGGGCGGTCTGATCGCGTTTATCGCAATGAAAAAGAGGTAGTTTCTTCTCCGCACCACACTGCGACCAGACAACCAACTCGCCAACAGCATCAAGCGGTCTTCCACTGGAAGGATGTGTGCTACGACATCACGATTAAGGGAGAGGACCGACGCATTCTTTCGCACGTTGCAGGATGGGTGAAGCCTGGGACACTCACTGCATTGATGGTAAGGAGTAATGAACATCACGCAGCCGAATTCATGCTGACGTTACCTTTTAGGGATCTACTGGTGCTGGCAAGACCACTCTGTTGGATGTTTTGGCCAATCGAGTCACGATGGGCGTCGTTTCTGGAGACATGCTAGTCAACGGCATCCCGAGAGATCAATCGTTCCAACGCAAGACGGGTTACGTGCAGCAGCAGGACATTCACCTCGAGACTTCGACGGTGCGCGAGGCACTGCAGTTCAGCGCTATGCTTCGACAGCCTGCATCCATCAGCCGGCAAGAGAAGTACGCCTACGTCGAGGAGGTCATCGAGCTTCTGGAGATGGAGGCCTATGCGGATGCGATTGTCGGCGTCCCTGGCGAGGGTAAGACTTCCATCACTCAGACCCCTTCCAAACCTTTGCAGACTAACTTGCCGTGGCAGGTCTCAACGTTGAACAACGAAAACGCCTCACAATCGGCGTCGAGCTAGCCGCCAAACCAGACCTTCTCCTCTTCCTCGACGAACCCACCTCCGGCCTCGACAGTCAAACAGCGTGGTCCATCGCATCCCTTATCCGAAAGCTCTCCGAGAACGGCCAAGCAATTCTCTGCACCATTCACCAGCCTTCCGCCCTCCTCTTCCAGCAGTTCGACCGCCTTCTACTTCTAGCCCACGGCGGCAAAACCGTCTACTTTGGCGACATTGGCGAGAACTCCCGGACGCTCACAGGTTACTTTGAGCAGTACGGAGCCACCCCCTGCGGCCCGGACGAGAACCCCGCCGAGTGGATGCTGAAGGTCATCGGAGCGGCGCCGGGTGCCAAGGCGGAGCGGGATTGGCATCAGACGTGGAAGGATAGCGACGAGTCTGTTCAGGTGCAGCGGGAGCTCGCACGACTGGAGAAGGAATCACCTGCGGCTGGAGCTTTGGGGACCAGCGAAGAGATGTCGACTTACGCGACGCCGTTTTCTACGCAGTTGGCTATGTGCACCAGGCGTGTGTTCCAGCAGTACTGGCGTACGCCTTCGTACATCTACTCGAAACTGATTCTGTCAGGCGGAACAGTAAGTCTCCCAAACCCGATGCATCGGCACGATAACTAATAATGACCACAGAGTCTCTTCATCGGTGTCTCATTCTACAAGGCAGAACTCACGATGCAAGGCCTCCAGAGCCAGATGTTCTCCATCTTCATGCTCCTGGTCGTCTTCGCTTTCCTCGTCTACCAGACGATGCCCAACTTCATCCTCCAGCGAGAGCAGTACGAAGCAAGAGAGCGAGCCTCGCGTGCGTACTCGTGGTACGTCTTCATGCTGGTGAACATCATCGTCGAGCTTCCCTGGAACACCCTGGCCGCGATCGTCATCTTCTTCCCCTTCTACTACCTCGTCGGCATGTACCGCAATGCGATCCCCACAGACGCGGTGACTGAGCGCGGAGGCTTGATGTTCTTACTTGTCTGGGCGTTCATGCTTTTTGAGTCGACTTTTGCGGACATGGTCGTTGCTGGCGTACCCACAGCCGAGATTGGAGCTACGTTGTCTCTCCTTCTGTTCGCCATGTGCCTCATCTTCTGCGGGTAAGTAGACATGTCTCCTCTAAGAACCACCTTGAAGCCTGAGCTAACCACCAACAGTGTCATCGTGCCTATGGGCTCCCTTCCCACATTCTGGAAGTTCATGTACCGAGTATCTCCACTCACCTACCTCGTCGACGGCCTCCTCTCGACTGGACTCGCTCACAATGCCGTGCAGTGCTTGCCGCTGGAACTTCTGCAGTTCTCGCCGCCCGCCAATGTCACTTGCGGAGCTTACATGGAGACGTACATGCAGGTTGCTGGCGGCAGGGTCTACAACCCAGAAAGCACCGATACCTGCCAATTCTGCTCATTGGCCGATACGGATATGTTCCTGGCCATGACGTCCGCCTCGTATGACAAGAGGTGGCGCAACTATGGGCTGATGTTTGTGTACATTGTCTTCAATCTGTTTGCTGCTTTGGGGCTGTATTGGTTGGCTAGGGTGCCGAAGAAGTTTTCGCTGTCGCAGCCGTGGAAGAAGAAGACTGCTTAAGTTGGGGCAACGCGTTACCTTACACCGCACAGTTCGGGACTTAGATGGACAGGTGTTTTTCAGGCAAGGTTGGATGGACTAGGTCAATTTGGGTACAGGTCATTTAGCATCTAGAATTATAACGGTACCTTATTGCATTATATCTACTCGCTTATACATGTAGTCTAACTTACAATCACTTGCTCAGGCAATGAGCTTGGAGCATAGACAGCTGTATTTGTTAACAGTCATCTTGATGTGCACTCTGCCAGGTCAAAAAAGCAAAGCCAAACGTCCAGATCTACCATGCAGCAAAAGATTGCGCCGAGGGGGAATCGAACCCCCGGCTCCCCGACGCTGCTTGATGGCAACGGAGAATTTTACCACTAAACCATCGGCGCTGTTGACGATCAAAGCGAGATCTGGATCCCTTGCTGGATGCCGGAACCCTGGGAGCGAGAGGCTTATGCAGCTCGGTAGAACTGGGTGGGTCGTGTGAGATGCCTCAAGTGTTCACGAGAGACTCTGTGAGATTCAAGATGAGACAAAAGGGCTAGTAGGACCAGATAGAAAGATGGATGTTGAATTGTGAGCAGAAACTTTTGGCAACTAATGGCTTGAGTGGGCAGGTCCTCGAGTCTTCTCGGTCCACTCGTTTAGAAGCCTCTTCGACGTGTTCGCAAGCCCCTCCCGCCATCCTCCTGCGACATCCTGCGCCCAGCCAACTTTGTCAAGCCACTTAAGTAGCCCTTCCGCGCGAGCCCCATCAGGATGCTGCAGCAGTCCGACTGCGATATCCACCATGCCGGGCCGGTCGTTGACCGCGTAAAAGACGCTGGCCGAGCACTTCGAGCAGAAGTACCGCTGGACATCTCGAGAGCTCTCATACATCGCCAGCGTACCCAGGCGTGGATCCTTGTCCTTAGCCGTGACTGCGTCTCTCAGATAGCTGACGTTCCTGGGAAACTTGGCTGCCTCTGGTGGGTTGTCTCCGCCAAATTCAATGTGTGATAGGGGAGCAAAGGTCCACGCCATCAAGTCCGCTCCAAAGCTGAGTCGGCACGAATCGCAGCATTCAAGACTGCCGCGGTACTTCAGCGTTTCTTTGTCGACGAACCAGGTGTCGAGATCTTCTTCCGGGAAGTCTCCGAGGTCAGCGCCGCTTTTCAGCTTGAGGTCAATACCACCACAGTGGCATCTGAACGGCGTGATGTCGGGAGCTGGGCCAACTTTGAGAGTCTCAGATGACAAGGCCTTGGCGCCGGGCCAATCTAGCGGCAACTCTTCACTCTTCCCAGCGCCCTCTCTCCACCGCTTGACCGGCGCGCCGTCCGCATATCGAGGCAACCAGACCGAAGCTCCTCCGTCGATGGTGTCTCCGACGTGCATGTGGCTTGCGTACTGAACCAGGTCCTCGGCATTCTCAAGTGCGCCAGTCACTACCCAAGGAACGTCTCCGACGGCAGGACCAAGACAGAACATCTGGGCGGAACATGTTCCGCAAGAGTAGAGGTCGATGCTCTCAGAGTAAGAGTACTTCTTGAGATCGGACAGGTGCTCAGAAGGCGATGGCCACTTGACACACGCGGTGTACAGCGCGCCAGAAACGTGTCGACATGAGTTGCAGTGGCAGCATGAGGCTTTCAGAGGAAGGTTGGACCTGAAAGTCTGAGCCTTGAAGGTGTGTAACTTGCACAAACATTGAGCCGTGATGACGACTCTGTCGCGGATGTAGGAGCGCTCATAGCCCTCGCCGCTCATTTTGAATTAGAGTGAAATTTTGGCGATAACACAGAAAAGCCAGGCTGTTGAAGCTTGGTTGAGACCTAACTTGTGAATGTCGAATTGGTGATACGCGGGGTTTTAAGTAATAGAAGGGCGCGAATGACAATCCTGGCATTTTGCCCGCTACGTCACTGGCGCGGCTCCCTGCAGCGTGTTATCGTGTTACCCCAACTACAGTGCAGCTTGGCAAAAAGCTGACCACGATAGGCGATGGACTCGTAATACGGCACGACATTATGCCTCTGGATGTATACAACCAGAGTTGCTCTGAATTTGGGGTACGGCAGGTGAAATGTTAAATGTGACTGCTGTAAGCACTAATTGCAGGCAAACAAGTCGCTATCCGAAGTTGATGCTGCCTGGATAGGCTGCGACCTTTCCAGTGTTTGCCAAAGCTTGGAAAGCCACAAGTTTGCAACCCTCAGAATGGTGATGGCTGCATGGCTGTGTTACGCCGAGAGGGATATTGCGCGTTTCTGCGTAACACCGGCCGCCCATCCCAGAGACGAAACCGGCGACTGCTGGGCCAAATGAAGCGGACTGTGGAACAGGCGGGATCTAGAACTTTGAGAGTGGGGGGCTCTTGTCCTCCCCGAGAAGCATCCGGATTTGACTACAACCCTCCTCTTGAAGCATTCCTGCCTATGAGTTTTAAGAGTAGACAGTTGCCTCATTGCCTTGCGGAGGTTGACCCTTGTGAGAAATTCGCCAGGGCCCATGGTGCATCGAGGTATCGCAGCACCCACACATGTCCTCAACCGCACCCCCAAACTAACTTTAGGAAAAGAAAAGTCACACGAAAACGGAGTTCCTTTTCCAATGAATCCAGTATCCATTTAAGGGGTTCTAGAGGTCTGTTCATGGCGCTTGCTGGGTTTCGAGCACTAGTGCAATCTGTACAATTATGCAGGGTTAGGGTCAAGATTATGCACACTCACCACCAGCAACCCGTTAGTCATCCACGACTGAATCGGCGCCAACACGCGTTGACGCCAATGACGGTGACCGCAAGATGCTCAAAGTGGGTCGCCCTGAACTTCCGACAGTCCTCGTTACACCTTCCAACCTCCAAGCGACAACTTTCTTCTTCCTCCCCCGGTACTGCTGAAGAGGCCCAGCACCAGTCCGGTAGAGTTACATTCTGCTGCTGCCCCAGATCGTTACATCTCCAGTTCCAGTATCCAGTAATATCCGGCCCTCGTTGGCTGCCTGACTGGGCGGAATGAACGATCACAACGTCGCAGTGAAGCGGATCTCGGAGATCGTCAAGGACTTCCACTCGCGCCGGGAGCCCTTCCGCATCTTCCACGGCTCCACCAGCAGCACCCGTCCCGCCCACGGCCAGCGCGTCGTCGACATCAGCGAGCTGCGCCATGTGCTGCACATCGACACCGCGGCCGCCGTCGCCATCGTCGAGCCCAACGTCGCCATGGACCAGCTCGTCGCCGCGACCTACCGCGCCGGCATGGTCCCGCCCGTGGTGATGGAGTTCCCCGGCATCACCGTCGGCGGCGGGTTTGCCGGGTCCGCCGGCGAGAGCAGCTCGTTTCGGTACGGTTACTTTGATGAAACAGTGCTGGCGGTTGAAATCATCCTGGCCACCGGCGAGGTCGTCAATGCGTCGAAGATGGAAAATGCGGATCTGTTCAAGGGTGCGGCCGGGGGGCTGGGGACACTCGGCATCGTCACGAAACTGGAGCTGCGGCTGCTGCCGGCGAAGAAGTTTGTGAAAGTCACGTATCACCCGTATTCGAGGATCCCGGATGCGATAGCTGCGATCCAGCGGGAGACGAACTTGGCTCACAACGACTATGTTGAGGGATTGGTGTTTTCGAGAACCAGTGCGGCGGTGGTAACTGGCCAACTCACAGACGACTTGCCAGTAAAACACAAGCCGCAAACTTTCAGCAAAGCAAAGGACCCGTGGTTCTATCTGCATGCGCGAAAACGCATTACAAATGCAGTACCAACTCCGGATTATGTGCCGCTGCAAGATTATCTCTTTCGGTATGATCGCGGCGCATTTTGGATGGGGGAGTTGGCGTTCAAGTACTTTGGCTTCGTCCCTTTCAACCGCATAACACGACGGGTGATGAATCGCCTCATGGATACCCGGACATTATACAAAGCAGGCCTCGGCGGTGGCAGCCGGATGACTTTCCAGTATCTGGTGCACGATTTGTCATTACCATACTCAACAGTCCAAAATTTCATCGACTACGTCGCCGACAACATGGAAATTTGGCCCCTCTGGCTGTGTCCTCTGCGTGCCATTGAGTCCCCCAGTTTTCACCCTTACACGACGGAGCCGGGTGGGGAGGTACCCCAGCCGATGCTTAACGTGGGAGTCTGGGGCCATTCGTCAAAGAAGATTGACCGTTTCATGCGGCAAAATCGAGATCTGGAGGCAAAGCTCATGGAGTTGGGAGGGCGCAAGGTGTTGTACTCACATGCTTACTACACGGAAAAGGAGTTCTGGGACATGTACGACAAGGACTGGTACACGAAACTTCGAGAGCGATATAGTGCGACGAGTTTACCGGATGTTTACGACAAGGTTGTGGTTGACGTTACCAAGGAAAAGGAAAGGAAGTCTATCCGTGACAAGGTGGCGGTCACCTGGCCGTTTGCAGGTCTCATTGGAGTTTGGTCGGCAATTCGAAAGTAACGGGGTCTCGTCGATGTATGAACGACAAGTCTTGCGTTGTTGTTTCGCTGGAAGGATTATCATGAAAGCTTAAGAATGGTTGAGGCTTGTTCCGATAGTACGAGCGGTTGCTTTTGATGATCCATCGGCCTTCTGCATTCTTTTGGGCCTTCTTATAGACAGCATGACGGGTTTGAGCCCGCGATGTATGATAGTATTGGCTTTTGCCTGTGGCATTTGACACGAACGATTTTTACTGAAATTTTATAGACGGCCTATACGTTTCAATGGCCTGACACGTTGCATCTTTGGAAATCCTTCGGCGCAAAACGGACATAGAAACATTCAAGATCATACAAAGCCCAAAATTCCGTGTCTTTATGATATAAACTGTGCCGGGATATTGATGGACTGATCATTCCTTCTAGCGGTTTAGAAAAGATGAAATTCTACCGTGTGTGCTTCTGACAGCTTCAAATTGGAGCTGGTCTCTCAAGCTTGAGCAGGACTAGAAGATCCGTGATCACTGCTCGTCCCTGGTGCAGTCGGTTTCTGCCTGATATCTCTCCAACCCATACCGAAGGCAGCCAGAAAGGCAAAGACACCGACTGCCGCAACCAAGAAAAACACATGATCAATGGCATTTGCATACGCCACCAGGACGGCTGGGAGATCTTCAGCAGACACCAGCTTGCGGAACTCCGTAGCTCCAGCCGCAACAATAGCCTCTACATCCGCATTGGATGCGTGCTTGGGAATCTCCGAGCGCAGACTGGATGTAAAGAGAGTGTTGTAAGCTACGATGAAGATCGTCGGGCCAACGTACTGCGCCCAGACGAGGAGGGATGTTGCTTCGGCGAGATGCTCAGGCTTGGTGTCGTTTTGAATGGCAATCAGCGGCTAACCCGTGAGCACATGGTGCGAAGGTTGTCTAGAACATCTAAGTTGGCTTACCATTTGAAAGCCAAAGCCTTGTCCGACTCCGGCCAGGATCTGGTATCCAATCCATTTCCCTGTCGAAGTGTTCGGCTGAAAGGTCCCGTAAAGGCCGCTGCCAATTGCTGTTGTAGCCGCCGCAAATAGAGCGAATGGCGGGATCCGGCCGACCTTTGGGACTGTCAAACATGTTAGCGATGACTGACTGAATGAGGCTTGGATATGGGTCTTACCCAGAACACCAGTCAAGATTGTCGTGAGTATTTGTGGTAGGATGTTCGGCATGAGATAAACGCCACTGAGCATAGCGCTCTTCTCCTTGATGGCTTGAAAGTAGATCGGAAGGTAAAACACGCTACCAAACACCACGGCCATGAAAAGTCCATAGTTGAGTGAGCTGATAGCGACAATGCGTCTCTTAACCATAGATGTCGGAATAAGGCCTTCATTTTCCTTGTGACGGTTCCAGAAAGCCCAGACAACGGCGTTGACGCTCGCGCCACAGAAAAGACCAATGACTTGAGACGATTTCCACGGAAACTGGTTTCCCCCATATTGCAAGGCGAGAAGGAGCATGATGAATGATGGAGCGAATAAGGCGAAGCCGATAAGGTCGAGGAAACGGTGGAGGCCTTTGAGGACGTGGAGTGGGTTCTGCTTTGCAACCTGTTCAGGAATGTGGATGATGACCAACGGAATGGCGACGATGGCTCCAAGGGGAAGATTGATGTAAAAGCTCCATCTCCAAGTGTAGCCCGTTGTGAAAGCACCACCAATGAGAGGTCCTATCACCTGGCCAAGTTGGGAAATTCCCATGCACGCCCCAATGAAAGGGAGTCGCTTCTCTAGGGGAACCGAAGCGGAGGTGATCGTGAATGATCCGTTGATGATACCAGAAGCACCCAATTCTGCGATGGTTCGTCCGATTATGAACATTGCCGACGTCTGTGCTGCTGCGCAAAATACAGAGCCGAGTTCGAAGGCAAGGAAAAGCACAAGAAAGATCCACTGAAGGACTTTTGTTAGAATCCGTGATTACAGGCAGAAAGCATTCTGTTGGAAGTTATGTACCTTGAGTTTGAAGTGATTGTACATCTTGCCTGTCAGAGGCACAAGAGCGGCACTAGAGTGGTGTCGGTCGTGAAACGTCGATAGGAGGAATCCTCAACTTACCTGCCCAGATTATACGCACTGCCATACCAGCCAACGTCAACTAGGGATTTGAAGTCCTCGGTGATCTTTGGAATTGCTTGCCGCCACCAGTACTTTAGCTATTGCGCTGCGACGAACTGGAGCACTTGATCGACGGATAGCTGAATACTTACAATACTGATGACAGAAATATCCATCACTGTCAGGAAGCAAGCCAGGGAGACCGAGACGACGATCAGACCGACTTTGACTCCGCTGACATACTCCTGGCTATTGTCCTCAGTCTTGATCTTGGTGGTCTTTAAATCATCGGTGGACGGCTGCATGGTATCAGAGATCGCGACTGCGTTTTCACTCTCAGCACCGTAGGGACGGCGGTCGCGACCCTCTGTGGAAGATTCGTGAGACTGTTCGGGAGGCATTGTGATGGTTCTAGGAGGGCTTAGTGGTCAAAGAACGTGAATTAAGAGGAGTTTGAAGTGCAGAAATAGGAAAACGATGGGAAGGAGGATTTTCTGATGCCTAAAAACCAGAATCACACTTGCGATTGACGCTGAAGAATGTACTGCAGGACACCGTGTGATGTATGGAGAGACTCCAGGTTCACCCTTTCTCTTCCCGTAGGATAGTCTCCTTCTATTAGCCTCCATTCTGTTTGCTCTTGTCTTGCGACAGCTTCCTCACTGGCAGTTTGTGCGTACATGTCTTGAACCGGAGCAGGCACGCGTGCCGGGTCCGCCGGCCCCACGTCAGCCCCGGCTCCGGCTAGTTCGTACCTCCGTATGCGATCCAATGAGAGTATGTGGACAACCCTGTGTTTATGTATGTCCATTCAACACCCGCTTCAAGGTGGGCTGTCAGACGGGAAAGATGAACTTTGAGTGCGGCGCAACCTGCGCAGGCATCTGGTGCGGTTCCGCAGGGACGGCTCAACAAATATGACCCTGTTCCGCCGCCGTCGCACCCGCCGTCCAACTGTTCCATCCGTTTGCTCTACTTCGAGTCCATCTGCTTTGCCTTTCCACATACTCAATTGACTTGGCATCGAGCCGCTATCACGTTGGTCAGACCGGGTGACAACATGAACCGGCCCTTGGTGTCGGAATCCCCAGCCGGACGAAGCTCGAAGGCATGCATGAACTGTGCCAAAGTGAAGTGCAAATGCATCTACCGCGAGGATGGTGCGCCGTGCGAGAGGTAAGATTCCATCTCTACTGGTCCTCCCTAGCGATGCGAGAAGTCGATCGTCTCTTGTTTATCTACTTATGACATTATCATCGCCGTATTTATGCGCTGGGCAATGTCAAGAAGTATTTCATAGTTCAAGTTGAACTAATCGGAGATGGCTTGCAGATGTCTCCGCCTGAAGAAGGAGTGTACGCCATCCATAATTGTGCGCCGTCACAAACCCAGGTCTCAGGCTTCAAATCGGGCGACACGCCTCGAGGAAAAGCTCGATGATCTTGTCTCGTTCCTGAGAGCCGAGAAAGGGCTGCCACCAGCACCGTCGGACCGGCATGCCATCAACGAAGACGACAACGAGGAAGATGAAGATGACGACCAAGACGATTTGGAGTTATTGCAAAGCCCATCTCCTGATGCCGCCATCCCGACACCTGCAACAACGGCCGTCAAATGGCCCTCTACGTCTGGATCGCCCAATGAATGGGAAGCTGTTTCTACAGATGAGCCATCGACAGCTGAGGCAGAGGAGTCTCTCAGAAAGTTCAGAGAAGAGACAATTGTAGGGTTTATAGTGTAGATAAAGTCATCCGGGGACAAAGAAGGTTTTGCTGACATTGATGCGGCAGCTGTTCTTCCCATTTCACTATATACCACCGCAGGTCTCCTCTCAGCAGCTTAAGGAGACGTATCCGTTCCTATGGCTGAACATCATGAGCGTGACATCAAGGTCTAACAAGCGACGACTGGCACTGGAAGACAAGGTCCGAGAGATCATATTTCAAAAGATAGTTATAGAACGAGAGAAGAATTTGGATCTTCTTCTTGGGTTAATAGCTACCCTGGGATGGTTCGTTACACGGAACCGTCGAAACCCGATGTGCCTTCTCATAGTTGCTCATCGTTGCAGGTCACATTTACAGCGAAGGGATAAACTTTACAATTCTTTGTTCTCGCAGTTGATCATTCTTATGATCTATGACTTGGGGCTGAACATCCCTCCCACGGAAGCTCCTCCGAAGGAATACTGCAGTCCAGGGACGCATATCCACTCCGAAGACGGCAGACGCGGGAGAACCAACGACGGACGCAGAGCAGTGCTAGGTGCCTTTCTTGTTACTTCCATGTGGGTTATCTCCCCGGCCTCCAACTTGTTTCCTGTGATTCCAGACTATTCCCAGCTACTCTTTGAGCTCCGTTAATGACATGTGCGTAATTACAGGGCCTCGTACTCCACGAGAGGACCAGAAGGGGTGCGTTGGTCTACGGTCCTTGACGAATACGCCAGTCTTCTCATTCAAACCGACCTCGACCAGGACAAAAGCCTCGTCGCTTTGGTTCGCATGCAGTTGATCATCAATCAAATGCAGAGTATGAATTTGATGGGGTCGAATCCAAATCAGGAGTTGCGCGAACTGTATACATCCACCCTGCGCTCGCAGCTCCAAGCCATCATTGGCAGCGAGAAGTTCGGCCCGGCTGCATCCACACACCGTAAGTGCACTGTCATCATGATGTGACTGGTGACATGCATTTTGAGCATCGCTAACATTCCTAATCCATAGCCGCTGTGCTTGAGCACTACCACTTCACCGAGCTTCTCATTCTCGAGTCGTCCCTATGTTCTTCACATCAATCCACTGATTCAGATCTGAAGAGATTTGAGGTCTACCAAGGGCAACTGAACTCGGTCAGAGCATGGCTCAGTACTTTCTACACAACGGACGTCCGATCGTACGGTGACAAGGCGCTTTTTAGCTACTCTGAGCTGGTCCGGGTGATGGTATCCTTGCATAAGTTGAAGACGTTGGATGACACTGCTTGCTCGCGCTCTGGGGTTAGGCAAACGCTTGATCTGATTCCGACCCTGGACAAACTCATTGCAGTCTTCGAGCAACTGAGAGCTGCCAGTGTTCTGTGGTCTCCCACCTGCAGCACAGGGGAAGACGAAGCGTTTACGTGGGCTATCAACGTCTTTGAAGGCATGAGAAAAGCATGGAAGGATGAAATGACGGGGCTCGAGGACTTTGGCAGCGGCAACCTAGGGGTTGTGTCACATAGCTTAGTGGCTATGCCTACGTATAGGGCTACCGATGCGTGGTGGTCAGATGTATTCAATATTTGACGGTATTTCAGCGTCAAGCGGTCAACAATTGATAATCATTATCTCAAATCTCAGTCTACAATGAATAAGCGACAAGCACAAAAGGCAGACTGCAGTCTGCAGATTGTATGGATTCGCACTACGGAACAGTGCTACTGTTTAAAGTTGGGCATAGCCTAGACATGTTCCGGTCCACGCGTGAGCTTGAACCCACCGCTGACGAGATTCTGGAAAACACCGTCCGGATCATAGCCCTCCGCAATCTTCATAAGTCGCGCCTTATTCTCCGCTCCATAGCTGGTGAAGGGATCCTGGAACTGACTGGCATAATTGGTGTACTTGAACCCGTTATGTAGGCCCCTTTCTCTTGCGGCAGCATTCAAACGGTCCTCAATACGCTGCTGCGTGGCGTAGACAATCTTGTCGTCCTCGGCGTTTCTCCACATGGCGATGATGTTCAAAAACCCGAGGGGCCGTTCTTGCTCGGCAAAGCTGGTGGGGTTCCCTCCGTTACGCTTCGCGAACTCGAACTCGGCGCGCGTGAATATCTGCAGCTGCTACTGCCTTGTTGCAATATCCTTGATGGCCTTAGCCTCTTCGCGCCAGATCTCGAAGGCCGTCTGCATCATTTCCGCGTCGAGAGCGAACGAGGTCGTCCAGAAGGAGTTGCGGGTCACACCACCTGGGAATACGAGGCCGTCGGCGATCTCAGCGTGGTATGCGTTGGTCTCTGTGATGTTGTTGGGCCCGGCACTGTAGAACCCGTCAAACACTGCAGGGTGCTTGCTGTTGGTGAAGGTGTCGGCGTGTGTGAGGATTGCTGTGCCAGTCGGAAGAGCGTCCTTGTTGTAGTCCTAGAGCAGCACGCTGAAGCTCTTGGGGTCGGTTGCCACGAGTTGATCGCCCCAGTTGACGAAAGCTGTGATGGAGGACGCGTTGGCAGCGCCGTCGTATTCCAGCTGAGCTGTCCACAGCTTTCCTTGCTCATAGGCATCGAAGGTGAACTTGGTGACGATACCAAAGTTGCTTTCGCCGCCGCGGAGAGCCCAGTAAAGGTCAGGGTGGGAGTTGGGAGACGCCGTGACGATGCTGCCATTGCCCAAGACAACTTCGTAGTCTAGAACGTTGTCACATGTCATGCCATGGAGGTTGCTCAACCAAGAGATTCCGCCTGCAGACGGTCAGCGTACAACGCAGAGACAAGCCGCAAGGAATAGACATACTGCCCAGAGTGAGACCGCCAACACCAACGCCGAACATCCTCCCACCAGGGATGGTGAGGTTTTGCTCTTATAGGATGGGATATACGCTAGACCACCAACCACCAGGTCCAAGAACAGCCGACCTTTTGTCATCACTCACAACAGTTTCAATCATACGCGCGAGGTCGACCACCAAACCGTTGTCGATAGTGGATGCTTCGAACGAGTAGTGACCTCCGCTCTTAACAGCAAACTGACACTGGCCATCTCGAGCAATGATCACTGCTCTCGAAACTTCATTTGCACTCCCAGGGGTAAAGAAGCAGGTCGGAGAGGCGGAGCCTTGGACAGTCGACCAGAAGGATGTCTGCTCCAAGGCGTACGCGGTTTCGTTTCTCAGAAGAACTTAGTTCGGGAACTCCTGGTGGAGGTCGCGACACTTTAAGGCACCATAAGTATACGTTCCTTATCTTTTCCCCTTTGTTTTCCTTTCATTTTCACGCTTATAAAATACACACAGACGCTGGGATGCACCTACGACTCCGTCACAGCCACTGAAAGGGATTGGCTTGGCGTAAGTAAAGGCAGTGGAGAAAGCCAGAATGGCAGCAGCGATTGAACACGAGAAACCCATCGTGGTTCAGGCGGTAATCAGGGTGGGAATGAGGTGTGTTAGAGACGATGTTGATGCAGAACCATCCCCTTCGAACACAGTCTCGAGGATCATCATGGGGTCATATTATAGATTATCCTCAGCAACAAGAGATGCATGCCAGCCGTACGGAGACCGAATGGATCGCAAACAGACGGACAATGTGCCCTGTTTGGCACCCGAACCAGAGGCGCCGTCTGCACCGATCGCTCGGGTTTCCGCGGACTTGCACCAGGGCAAGGAAGCAGGCCTAGTCAGTGGGTTTTCCTGCAGTGGACAGCATCACGATACCACGTGGATAATTATTTAGTAGTGGTCATCTCCCTGAAGCATGCCTAAACAGAGTTTTTGTAGTGCATGGCGCGAACCCCCACACCACACAAACTGTATGTGGCTAAGATGTAATTACAGAAGCTCATCCACGCACGGCCGCGGGCCCGACGACCGAAATAACTTGTATGCACCGTTAATGTTGGGGCAAACAACTGTCGTTCATCCGAACGTTCCTCCCGTGGATCTGATTACAAGGTCGAGCTCTGCCACAATCGTTCCGCAAAGCTTATGATCCGATCACATAAGTCTCAACAACGGTAACGGTGACTCCGTTCCCATAGTTTGATTCATTGCACAAACGATCACCGCGATCACCTCTGCTCACTAAAGTAAAATCAAAGCAGTAGTGGATCCGGCAACACCTAAGCGATGCCTTGGCAACAGCCTTATCACATTCCGACAACTAGGTCATCAAAAGCTGGCCACCTGAATAGATGCATTATTGCAAATCATTGAATCTCTCAGGAGAAGTATCGGGGTAGTATCACAGGCTGCGGCTTTTCTGTCTGTTTACATTTCATTATTGGATCTTTGAAAGAATGCATCTTCTGCCCGTTTGAACATCGTCCGCATGTCTGTTGGTACTGCTCTTTCATTAGAGACGGGATTCATGGTACTATACCTATCTGCAGATCTTGAATACTGACTATCATTCATGCGGAGCAATTGACATACATACTAAGCTCGGTGTATCTTCTTGGGTTCTTTGTGAAAACAGCATGCACGATGTAGTAAAACAGATAGCACATCACAGGAACTTATTTAGGCAACATTGAACAACGATCCGCGCACGTGACGCTTCAGAAGGCTGCAGCGAGGTCTTGGCTTCATGTGGTCATGTGCCCAACAGCGCCGCATGGAAAATCAGGTTACCTACACCTTCCCCCACCGTGAGCTGCGAGAAAATGGCTCTTGAGGTTCCAAAGCTTTGGCAGTTGACAGAGAACCTGATGATCAAAGCCTTTGAACTGTGTCCCTGAGAAACCTTTCACAGTATCATGGCTGAGACAGAATACCACCACAATGACTCTGGGCCTGGCGATCAGTTCTTGGCCGCTGGGCCCCAGAACAATAACTCAGGCTCTGGAACACAGTACAACGCGCACAGTATCAGCTTCAACACTGGTACGTCAACGAAATCTAGGCTGAGTTGTGGAAACCGACAAGCTAATCAACGTTCGCTCTTCGCAGCTCAAGATAGTGGCGCAAGTCTGTTCGCCGACCTACGCATTACCGATCCTCGCGACGATAAAGATCGCATCGAGCACACCAGGGGCGGATTGCTCCGCGACTCATATACTTGGATCCTAGAGAATCCCGACTTCCAAGATTGGCGTAATGGCTCCGAGAAACGACTACTCTGGGTGAGAGGTGACCCCGGCAAGGGCAAGACGATGTTCCTATGCGGCATCATCAATGAGCTGGCGGATGATGGAGCAGAGCCCGTTTACTTCTTCTGCCAAGCAACCGACTCGCGGCTGAATACTGCCACCGCCGTGCTTCGTGGCCTGATTTACGTGCTGCTGGAAAAAAGACCCTCTCTGATCCAATTTGTGAGAGAAAACCACATATACGGAGGGAAGCGATTCTCCGAAGATGCCAATAGCTGGACTGCCTTGGGCAAAATCTTGGCTAAGATGCTATCCCAAGAAGATTAAGCGATGGAAAATATCGTTTTAATTGTCGACGCGCTGGACGAATGCACCACACATTTAGACGATCTGGTTGACTTGGTTGTCAAACTTCCTTCAACGCCCACTAGAGTGATCGTATCAAGCCGTAACTGGCCGAACATTCAAGAGGGCACCGAGGCAGCTGAGCAGCAACGCCAGATTTCCCTAGAACTCAATGAAGACTCTGTTTCTGCGGCGGTGTTGGCATATACGAGTTACAAAGTTGACCAACTTACGCAAAAAAAGGGCTACGACGAAGCACTTCGGGATGAAGTGCAGAGATACTTACTCTCTAAATCAGACGGTACATTCCTATGGGTATCTCTTGTCACACAACGGCTAGAAGACCGTAGACTTCCCAGGAGGCGTACGTTGACCAGACTCCGAGAATTCCCTCAAGGGCTCGATGCATTGTATGGCCAAATGCTAGACCAAGCCTTCGAGTCAGAGAATCAGGCTTTCGAGCCAGAGGACGTGGAAATGCGCAAAAAAAGTACTGGCTGTGGTTTTGGTTGCTTTTCGACCACTCTATTTGAAAGAATTGGCCGCCAATGGAAGAAGAACCGCTGACGGAAGTCATTGGTGAATGCGGCTCTCTTTTGGTTCTCAGGGAGAATGTTGTCTACTTTGTACACCAGTCTGCAAAAGACTTTCTTTTGGAATATCGTCTCGATGAGGTTATGCCTTTGGAAACCGGCCATCAACATACCCTGCTGTTCTCGAACTCATTGTGAGCAATGTCTACCACCCTTCGGCACAACATATACAACCTAACTATCTACAGGGGTCAGATAGACGAGGTAGAAATACCCGACCCTGATCCTCTTGCACCGATTGAGTATTCGTGTGTCCGTTGGGTTCACCATTTAAGCGAGGGACTCCCGCCCACAGCACAAGAGTTTGATCAAGTCTTAGCCTTTCTGACAGAACATTGCTTACACTGGCTAGAGGCCATGAGTTTAACTATCAGAAGCGGGATCACACCTTTACCACTACAATTGGAAGGACGGCGAGGATGCAATCCGGTGGGAAGGCCAAACAACTGTTGTCTCCATAGGAATTGGAGTTGCGTTGCTTGAACCACTTCGTATTTCAGGCTACAGTATTCATAACCGTCAGGCATGGGTGAGGAAAGATGGGGAAAACATCATTTGGATTCCTCCAGAATACCGAACTAGTACCTACGCAACTTGGGGCTCGACGATTGCGTTCGGTGACAGCTCAGGTCGTGTTACCTTTCTGCGATTCGCCTAATCAACTTGAATTATGCTGCCAATTGGTCAGGGTCGGCGCTCCAAGAGAAGAATCTCACTAATCATTGTGCAATACCTTTTACTCTTGCCTTTTTGTTCAACCTCTGGCTAGAGTGGTACCTAGAGTCATCACACGTAAGAGGCTGATATAACAGCACGGCCGCCAACCATTCATAAATGCACAGTCGATTATGAGACGTGCTCGATATTCGTTTCATAAATAGTGACCTAGCCGTTTGCGTCGGTCGCAAGTTTGTGGGATTTTGAGACAGAAAGGTTTCCCACTGCATTCCTTTCATCGAGGTTCCCTTGTTGCCAGTTGATTGGGATCGTCACAGATCTTTATACAAGCCAACACTGCTATTAATATAAGGACAAACAATAACATTACCTTTCGTTACATTGAAGTGACATTGCGAATCCGCCACGGGCGCCGTGACATCATACATCTACTCACTCTATGAACCGCCAGCCAATAGGTAATACATGTTAAGTTTTGCGCGTCCCCAGGCTTCAGTCTCCTCTAAGATAATATCAGACACTCAATTGCATAGAAGCTGACGCAAGTGGCGATTCGTTCCGCGCTTCCACTTCACCAGGTCATGGAAACACCTCAAAAGTAGGTACAACAACAAGCAGGTTATCTACCTGCGCGAATCTCAACATTATTAGTGTGCTCATCTCAAATCTTTTGCATCCGACTCCTGCCACGGGAATCTATCCTCAATTGACCGGATAAGGTTCTCATGGTGTGGGGATTTGGGTTTGATAGAAACGTCGAATGGTGCCGGATGGCTGATCACACCTGGATTGAACTCCGCCTCGGGCTGAATCACTTTACCGTCAACAACAGGGCTCTCGATATTAAACACGGCAAGCGACTGTGCGAAGTTAAGGAACAACGAGTTCTCAGCAAGAATCTGTCCAGCGCATATGCGACGACCGTAGCCGAAAACAATCTTGCGCGGATCTTTCTCTGGCTTGGGGCCTTGAAATCGTTCTGGTCGGAAATCCATGGGGTCTTGGTAGACCTCGGGGTCATGGGTAAACCACCTTTAAGAGTCAGTACAAGGTCTAGTTAGGCTCCTCTCACTTCTCCAAGCTGGGAAATAAACAAGACGCATAAGTTGGAAAGAGAATACAGTACACACCATACGTTTGGCATCAAGTATGAATCTTTCGGGATCAAATGATTCCTAAAGACGACATCTTGATCGCATGAATGTGGAAGACCCATGGGCCCAATGGGATGCCATCTCAGGATCTCTAGAACGATTGCTTCGATGTACGGCAAGTTATCGCGGTCGTCAAGGTTAGGTAGGCGGTCGCTGCCAATGACACGGTCGATCTCTTCCTGCGCCTTCTTCTGCACCTCGGGGTACTTTGCCATTGCGAGGAAGAATGTGGCTATCGATGCGACAGACTAAGCGGCGTGTCAGCTTCATGGGCTCCCATATCAGTTGTCGCGAACACCCATGGCATACCGTGTCTGCCCCGCCACCGAACAGGGATGCCGCAGTCCATTTGTTGTTGTGCACGTTCTCGGGTGTATCTTCGCTGCTAGACATTGCTTGTGAGAGATACGAGTCGTTCTTCTTCCCCGAAGCCAACTGGTATTCTACGAATTTATATCCGGTGTCGACGGTCTCTTTCAGTTCAGCAGCCCACTTGTTGGCGATCTTCTTCCATCCAGCTCCGGGAAACCATTCAGGAACATATCGCACTGTAGGTGTTTAGCGATGTCTTGAATAAACCTAAGGTACTTGGAACACATGAAGAGAATCACTTACGAATTGGGATAATGTCGACAAGAAAGTTCCCAGGGGTAGCTGCGTAGGCAAAGTGTTCCATAGCGTCATTCATCATCCCAGTCAAGGGGTCTTTCTTGAACTGTTCGGCGTTGTAGCCGTAGACGATATTCAGAATGACAGAGCCAGCTTCCCTAGTAAAAACACTCGCCGTCAGCTAATAACTAGATGCATGTCCTTTGATAGGTTTAACTAACCTTGCAATATGCTCCGTGAGTTTCTTCGGGTTGTCAAGCACATGCAAGAGGAAGTGGCCCACCTCAGCCTCTTGCAACGTATTGTACTGTGCTGCGGTTGATCGCGTCCCAAGAATCCGAGAAAACACTTTCCGATGGAGGCGAAGAGTGTCATCATATCTCAGCTGCCCTGTGCCGTCGTTCCATCCGACCCTGGTAGCCAGTCAGACCTTGAGAAGAGAGGTGACAAGTGCTTGGAAAGCCGTGTCCTTACATTTCGCCTGCAAGGACGATGGTCGGCCGGGACGAGAACTCCGAGGAACGCTTGTCAAGCATTTCAGAGGCTACCTGGGCATCATTGATGATGATCAATGTTTTACCAAGCACCTGAACGGAGCTGATCGGACCTGCGCAGCGGGCGTGAGCCAAAGTACCCAGTGAGTGATAGTCATGCAGTGTCTTGCAGCCATACCGTACAGATCCTTGTGCTTCAACCAAAAGCGAGCTGCAAATTCAGTCGGCTGAGGCAAGTCGCGAATGTTTCCAACGAGCGGCAGCCCCTTGGGGCCGGGTGGAAGAGGGGGCCGGTTGGCGTTCTTCCTCGCTTGAAGAAGCTTGTCGACGATGAAGACCGCAAGAAGGGTGGCAGCGAAGCCAATGAACAGAGAAGAATCTTTCATCGTGAAGAACGGGAATCTCGTTGCATGTGACGAAAATCCCCTTGGTCGCCAGTTTCAGAGGCCGGGAACCAGGGAAGGTTACTCGTATTATGTAGTAGGATCTCCCAAGTCCAGCCATGACCCCGCTGCCCAAGTCATGGTCAGTGGGACCTCTATCATGCCTAGGTGACATAAGTGCCGAACTCATGAGACGAACCTCTTAGATGGCGGAAGAATGACTGCTCCACAGACGGGGTTAAGATAATCGCATAGTGCCGTCGTGCCGAGATCTGAAGTGTTAATCCTGCCCCATGTGGGAAAGGGCCCGAACAAGGGAAGGGTTTCATTGAAGTTGGGTCGCGCGAATCACATCGGCAAGATATCCGCTGCGTCCGCTAGCTCCGTGATGTCGTGAAGCGGAGTGGCTCCGGGCCATGCATTCGGCCGTGGCGATGGCCGCACGCTGCAGCGGCCCATATCATGGGCATATGGTGCTTACGTGGGAACACGGCATTTGGTGGAGAAGCCGAGGGGAACCCGTCTTTGAGCCTCAAATTCACAGATCAGCCTGGAGACTGCCCAAATCATCTGACGCGGTTTACCAATCGGAACGTCTGTTTCTGTCTCGGTATGTGGGATCTGGAGCTTCGTTGTCAGTCATTGCTTTTTCCCGAAGTTCTCGAGCCTGCCTGTTTGTATCCATGTCGGTCAAGGAACCTGGGCTCCACCGAGTTAAACCAAAATACAGTAGTTCGGTGATGCGATCCCACCCGATCATGCATGTAACCTATATGAGACAGCATACTTCAGGTTACATGCAGATGTTGCGTTCAGTGGATCCAGTAAGCCCTAGAGTACATCGGAAGACCGCTTCATACGACTTACTGTTTGTGTCAACCTCAGATGCAGGTGGAGAGCATGAACTCACACAGAGCTTCAATGGCCCGGGACGGGTTCACAAATTGGTCATTGGTAACATACAGCTGATTAATGAAACGTATTCCATCACTTCTCATGACCGTCTCTGACCTCGTACAAAGGTTCACACATCCAACGCCGGACCCGAATCCCCGTAAACCGGATCTTTCG